TGCTTGAGCGCATCGCTGAGTTGAAGTCACCACACATATGCATCCTCCCAGAAGCCTGGGTGTTCAAGTGTGTGCGCGTGTGTGCGTGTGTGTGTCTAAGAGCAAGCAGCTGGGTCATCGAGCCATCAGACTCAAGAACCCTCCAGAACCCCTCGCAATACATGTCTCCGCGCTCGCTGCTCCCCCAGCGGTTACTGCATTCAACGGGGAGAGCCTCCTCAAAAGCACTTGGAGCTGTCGCTATCGTGCATTGACCTTGAGATCTTGACATAGAACGAATCTTTTGAAGCACATGCTGATTCCGGAATCCTCAGGAGACTTTGTCGAGACATCGCATGCCTCCGACAAGTTCGTAGGCATCACGTGTAGTCAAAAATAACCTCTTCCACTTATGATACAACCCTCCCCCGAGTTATGTGTTTTCGTTTTCGATCGCATGGGCTGGCCCTGGGTTCCGTTCAATTTCCACACATCCTAAACAACAACCCTAATAGCCTAATCACTAGTAGTGTCAGAATCAATGGTAGAGGAAGTCAGGGTAGTGGTTGAGTCGGTTCTTGCCGAGACGGTTCAGCTTGAAATTTGAAGGGAATACTTCATTCATCTAAAGCAGTAGTTGCAGAATAGAGCCTGACTGGATTCTGGAGCAGCACGGCCTGACTCGCATCAGCGGGGGTCCGATGGCAGAGAACAGCAGGGAGAGAGAAACGACAAAGCCAACCTGCATGTCATGTGCCGGCCGAGCCGAGTTTAGACCTCTTTGTACGCACCCTCAAAGCCCCCAACCCTTAAGCCTTCAACCTTAAACCCTGAAACCATTCATCCAAAACTCAGAACCACTCTTTTCACAGATAACGTATGCCTTGTCGCCTAGGCAGTAAGCCTCCACCGAGGCCCCTGGCTCTCAAGCTCTTTACCCAAACCCGCAAACCCTTCAGCGTTTTTCGCACGAAGTACCGTAAGCAGTACTACTATTCGTACTTATGCTAACAGTACGAGTACTGCTAGTAATAATCCGTAGTGGCCACCGATACCACAAGTCCATGCAAGTCGCTGCTTCTCCGCCTAGCTCGTAGTATCAACAGTCCGGGTAGGTCCGGGTTGTCCCCAACCAGTTGTCCCTTACTTTGATATTTGGCCCCGTGACCGCAAAGTCTACCGCCGAGCCATTCTTCAGATCAGGGCTGATTGTAGAATTACTGAGGAGCGATTTGAGTCAAATCCTTTCGTGCACTTGTGGGCTTGTGTGTATCTGTGGCATAAACCAGAGGTGGGATATCGTGAAACAGGTTCAGGTACTGGTTCGATTCCACAACGCAAATCCTCTAAGCAAAAGCTTCTGCCGCGAACTTTCGGGAGATTGTAAGTTCTATCTGACCGACGTCGAGCCTCTGTGATGACTTAATGTGGTCTTTTTCAGGCATGGGCTCTTTCATTCGCATGCAAGCATTCCAACGAGTGCCTCCCGATTGAGGTCATGAACTAGGCTTGCTACACGTAGGGGATTGCAGGCGGTTCGGAACAACACGGCAGAAATGGGCAATGTGAGAAGCCAGGCGCTCAGCATCTTCCATGCAATTTGAAGATGTTCGTGGACTGTCAAACTGCGCAAAGGAACCGCCGTAAATATCGAGGGATTCAGCACCTGCAGATTTCGCGATTTTGGAGGCGCCGGGAACATCGACGGCAGCGGTATATTCGGCTCCTAAGTGAGGAAACCACCGCAAATACCGATGCAAACAACCGCCGCGTCGGCGCCAAGAACAACGACAACAATATTTTCCACAAAACCACCACAACAGCCACGAGGACGACAAACTCAGAAACATTTGCGACAACCACAACTGCAAGCCCCCGCCCACAACCACCCGACACAACAACAACAACATCAACAGCAACAACCACAACCACAACCATATCCACGACAACCGCAACAACAACAATAATTAGAAGCAACACCAGGGACTAGAGCAGCAGCAGCAGCAGCAGCAGCAACAACAACAACAACAACAACCAAAACAAGACTAGTGGTAACCATAGACATATCAGTAATCGTAGTAACCACAGGAATACCGGTAACTGTAGAAATGAAAACAGGTCGTACCAACACATTGTGCCGGGAATCGAGAACCGCTAATTGCCTTCGTCATCTTGCTAAACCTGGTATTGGTCATCATGGCAAGCCTGGTAATCTTGGAGGGGGGGAAGATGACGCGTCAACTTGGTCATCGTTCTCTGGGAGTAACCGCTAAAGGGGTGCAAGTTTACCCATCGTCTTGGTAGTCTTGGTCATCTTGCTGACCAAGATGATCAAGGCTACCAAGATGACGCCCCCCCATCAGACCCAAAAACTCTCCCGACCAAGATGCCCAAGATGACACGTCATCTTGCCCCACGAGTTGCACCATTGTACCACTGGCACCACTGCACTCGCCTGGCGAGTGCATGGGTTTAGGGTTTGGGGGGTAGGGTTTCAGGGTTTTGAGGTTTAGGGTTACACGAGCCCGGCTCACGCACGGTTAGGGTTTATCCCTGGTTTCCTGGTGTCGTCTTGGTCACCTTGCTCTCGGGGAGAATTGTAGGGTCTGGGGGGGAGGGGGGGGCGACATCTTGGTCATCTTGACCACTTGCACCACCTGCTGGCCAAGATGACCAAGATTGCCAAGATACCAAAACATTTCCGACCAAGATGACCAAGATGATGCGTAATCTTGCCCAAGCCCAAAAAGCGCGCCGCGCAATTACCAAGATGACACGTAAACTTGTAGCGGTTGCTCGTTGACCAAGACTACCTAGATGACCTAGATGACGGGTCATCTTGCCGAACATCACCTTTCTTAATTCCCGGTACACTGGGCACGTTGTGCTGGGAATCGAGGACCGCTAATTGTCTTCACCATCTTGGTAGACTTGGCAATCTTGGTCATCTTGGTAAACCCAAGATGACACGTTAACTTTGGTCATTTTGCTCGCTGTGTGCCGCTATCGGGGGCCAAACTAAGATGTTCTTGTCCTGGCCTATAAAGCTCGCCGAGCAAGACGACCAAGAGGACGCGTCATTTGGCCCAGCATCATGGTACACAGTTCCCGGCTCACTGTACACTGTACGAGCAGTAATACTTGCAACAATTGTAACTATAGAGAAATACATAATACTTACGGAAACTGGGAATATTCATAATATTTAAGTCGTACAAACCACACAAGCCGTACACAATAAGACAGCTAATGATGATAAGAGGAATCAAATATTCATAATCTTAACAACACTACCAGTAGTGGTAAATGAAAGTAATTGCATTCTGGTAATCGCAAGATGGACGAGTAAGACTAAGAGGAATAACCGTACCGGTAGTTTTAGTCGTTGTCGTCGTCGTCGTCGTTAGGCTTGGGGTTGTGGTGGTCGTCGTCATCGTCGTTGTAGTCGTCGCCGTAGCAGTAATAGTCGTCGTCGTTATCGTAGTAGCAGTAGCAGTAGTAGTAGTAGTAGTAGTAGTAGTAGTAGTAGCAGTAGTAGTAGTCGTTGTGGTGGTGGTGGTGGTAGTAGTGGTGGTAGCAGTGGTGGTACTGGTAGTAGTAGCGGTAGTAGCAGTATCAGCGGTAGTAGTAGTGGCAGTAGTAGCGGTAGAAGAAGAAGAAGAAGTAGTAGTAGTAGTAGTAGTACTAGTAGTAGTAGTAGTAGTAGTAGTAGCAGCAGCAGCAGCAGCAAAGCGCCATGAGCGGCTCAAATTTAGACGGGGGCCTCTAGGCATGTCGATAAGCTGTGCTGGTCATCTACGTGCGTGGCTAATTGAAGCGCTGGACGAACATCTTGCTGATCAGCCGGAGAAAACATTGATCTGGGCGGAGCAGCTACTCGGTGAGCTCCTGCGAGGACTGACGGTTCCTGAAATCATTTTGGAAGCAGCACAGATCCTGCCACGACAAAGCTTTGCGCTTTTCCTGTCGTGGTCCATTCGCCACTATAACCAAGAGACCATTGCAGCACTGATCTACATTATTGAACAGCAAGCGCATGCCGCAACAGCTATTGAGGTTTTTACGAACAGAGCCCCCTAACGCTGAACTGGGCTATTCAATCCCAGATGCCACGAGAACGACTCCAAACTTTGAGGCCTGCTCAACTCGGTCCCAAGTCCGAGAGCTGAGTGCTACAGCGTATCATGCACATTCGGAACAATCAGCTGGCGCGAGGGTGTCCAGGTATCCCCCGACACTGGATGAAGGTGCCTCGGCACCAAACTACGGGGACGAAAGGCTTTTGGTGATTAGATCCACAAAGTGTAGGATCAAGAAGCGCTCCTTAAAGAGAGCTATGCAACGAGCAGACCGGGATGGTAAAGCAGTCTATATGGGTGGCGTCATACCGAGATGGACCCCGCCCTACGAACCCAAGATCCTCACGAAGCCGGTCCAGTCCAAAGTTCCGGGTCATGAACGAATCAAGATTGTTCAGTGGAATTGTGGTGGCTTCTCGAAAGAGATACAACTTGAATGGTACTCCTGGCTGCGACAAGACCCGGCCATTGGCATGTTCATTCTGGCAGAAACGCATTGGAATTTCACGAACGACTTCCAGTCTGAGGGATGGACTTTGATTCACTCAGGACTGACTAAAAAGAAGGGCGCAGGGGTTCTTATTGGGCTGAGATCTGACCTTGCAGACCGCAGCAACATCAAATGGAACGAACTCGAGGCAGGCAGACTGCTCCATGTGCGATGTAACATCCACAAACAACAATTTGACATCCTGGCAGTTTACCAACATGCTATGCTTCGCGCGAACAACGAGGACATGAAGGAGTTGATGAGCCAGAGACGCAAAATCTGGCAGAAAATGGACCGGGCCATAGCTGGCTTTCCCTTTAGATCCTCATTGGTGGTGTCAGGGGACTTCAATATGGTCTTTTCGCCGCTCGCGGAGGTGGCTGGACATGGTATTCATGCAGGAGGAGAAGCCGAGTACCTCAAAACTGAGCGCGCGGAAGTAATGGGGATTCTGCAGGCACGACGTTTCGTGGTACTCAACACGTGGGGAAAGCCGGCCACCACGTACCGCCATCCCAATGGGGAGTCGCAGATCGATTACCTGATAACGCGCAAACAATGCGCAGATCTGGAGGCGCGAAGGTGCGCACCCGTAAAGACCCCGCTTGCAGGTTGGCGATCAGCTGGACACCTGCCACTGGTGGCGTCACTCAAGCTGAACTGGTTGCCCTGGGCTCGCCAGCTACGCGGAAAAGACGAAGGCCACAATCATGGGAGAGCGCCTGAGAGTCTGCTGCAGGAGACAAACCCCAACCTATGGGAGCTGCACAGAGCTATCAAGCAACACTGGAGCGACTCGCCGGGCAAATTGGCCATGCCAAAACCTCGATGCGTGCAGACAGAGGTGGAAGCGATGTGGAGGAGTCGGAGCTCTCAGCTAACCGCGGCAGGTGGCGGGGAGAATGACGCGGAGAAGCTACAAGCGGAGCACAAACGCGACATGAGGAAGCTGGCAAGACAGCGCAAGAGGGAGATGCTTTTAGCCACGTTGGAGTTGGTGGGCGAGGCCCAACAGGCAGGGAACATGCATGCACAGTACCAGTTCATTCGGAAGATTTGTCCCAAGTCTTTTCGGAGAAGGGTTTGTCTGAAAAAGGAAGACGGAGGGATTATGTCGAAAGAGGAAGAGTGTGCCGCATTGGCAGCATACGCAAGGAAGCTGTTCTCAGATGCCGAGTTTGCACAGCCTGCCTTACTTTCATTACCAGAGGAGTGGGACACACAGCCCACACAGGACACTCCAGATAGATCTGCTATCAGGTCGATCCTGGAGCGCACTTCAATCAAGGACCTGGCCAAGCACAGCCAGACCCTCATCTCCAATGCGTCTTCATGTCTGTTATGTGGTCAGAGAATGCGACAGGCAAGCAGAATGAAAGCGCACTGGCAGAGCAGTCATGCTGAAGTATGGGGGCAAGTTCAACTTCATGCTCGGACACAGGCGCAGAGTCTCAGCGCTATCATGTCCCATCCATGTGCGTATTGTGGAGAAAGACGGAAGCGGCGCCCAAGTACAAGGCCTTCATCTCACCGCTGAAGGCAGCCTTTCAGAAGGGCAAGAGCATCGCGGCGGCCGACAGCAGGATAAACCCCGGGAGCAACCCCGAACTCAGCAAGGACACACGCGGTGATGCACCACCAGTACGCACCATTGCAAGTGTCAAGCAGGACAAAGCGAATTTGGGCACCATCAAGCAGTTCTTCCAGCCCAGGCAGACAATTACCGCTCCACCATCAGAACAAGAATCCATATGTGTGCCATGGTACTGCAGGCTTCGGCTGCGGAACCCCAGCTCTATGTGCTATCTGAATGCCGGAGTCTTAGCTTTGTTGCACGCCGTCAATGCGCTGCCACAGTACCCAGTGGAGCTGTGTTTTCTTCGGAGCGTTGGACGGAAAGCGGCGGAGCGGGGCACAGAGGTGACGCTGACCAGAATGAATGGGCTACGGAAGCTCACGCCGTCATGGGAGTTCACGCCTGAGCGACAAGACACTGCCGAGATTCTGCACCTCATGTTTGCTAATATGCCAGACCTACAGGTCATATGGGACACACGCAAAGCCACAGAAGAAGGCATTCGTCTCAGCACTCAAGGAGCGATGCCAGTGGCTATACCCATGCCCACCACGAGAGATGCAGTCATGCTCCAGGACGCAATACAGGCCTGGAGCTCAATGCACGAGGCGGTGACGGCCCTAACGGCTCATGCAGACATGATATGCATACAGTTGGGGCGGTACCAGCCACAAGGCAAGCGCTTTAACATCGTTGACTTGCCAGAGCAGGTCACGCTCCCAGTTTTTCAGGAAGACTCCAGTGTGCAATGGCAGCCGTACTATGTGAGCTGCGCTATCATTCATCTGGGCAGGACTCCAACCGCTGGCCATTACCGTGCACTTCTTCGGGTCGGGACCTCGTGGTGGCTCACAGATGACGGCAGCGTGGCTGAGCGAATAAACCTACATGACGGTCATCATCGCAATGTCTACATGCTTTTTCTAGTCAGTCAGGCAGCGCGGAATAGAGCACAGATGGATGCATCTGTGCCGACTCAATGCTAGCTGGGCTCAACCAAAGTCGGCCCTCCCGAGCCCGTCCTGTCCAACCTGAATTGCAGAATGGAGGAGGCACCGGACAAGACAACACAGGCGGAGGGCGGCTTCTTTGACCAGTACTGGCCAAGCGTTCAGGCCGCGCAGGCAGCTGGAGCACGCCAGATGGAAGAGGATGAAGATGTGGAGAAAGCCGATGCGGACAGAGCCGCCAAACAGCCGCGCTTCGGAGAGCCCAAGGGAAACCCCGGAAAGGGAAGTGGCAGCAATCGCCCGAGCCCGGGTCGTGGTGGTGGCGGAGGCGGCCAGGGACGCAGACGCGGCAGAGATGCCGGCAAGTGGGGAGAAGGATGGGAAGAGTCGGAATGGCCTGAGTGGGGCAATGACTTCTCGGACAAATGGGGCTCCGATTCCAAGGAGTCCAAAGAGGCCAAGGAGATCAAGGCCCTTCGAAAGGAAGTCAAGCAGCTGAAGGAGGGCATTTTCTCGCTACAGAAAATGACCCTCCGACACGAGGACTTCGGCAACTGCATCAAGGCAGAGCTATCTTGGGTCATGTTCCTTCGACTTGACATGCGCGCGTCTATTGTGCCGTCGCTGTATACCATGCAGCAAAAGTGGAGGGAGCTCAAGGAGAAGCATCCGGAGCAGCTCACAGCGCCAATGCGCATCGACCTGGTCAAGGCCATGTTCAAGGAGTTTGCGGCCAGGCTTGAAAACCTTCCCCAGCAGGAAGAGCAGATGACCGTTTTGGCATACTTGGGATGGCTGCGCAAGGACCCCATGGCCTGGCACTATGTGCGCTGGGATCCGGACCACGAGAGGTTGAGAGCGGACCCGGAGCGCGACCCAATTCCTCACGCCCAGGTGGCCGCAATCGTGGGCTCCATCATGCAGCTGGTGGCTGCAGATGTGGTGACACGCTTCCACCCCAGCAGGGAGATCACGAAGCAGATGGGAGGAAAGAACCTCGCAATGTCGCTACAGACGGCAATCCATGGAGACGCGGCAGGCAGCATTCGGCAGCACCTGCATACCCTCAGCGGGCTAAGTGCAACGCAGCTACTGGGCATGAGCGTACGCCAGGACAGGCCCGGACGTTCCGCGCTGGCAAATGTCATTCAGCGCCAGATCGAGGCACCCTAGGGACAAGAGTCGAGGAGCCGGGCCGAGCCGGGAATGGGTCAAGTCAGTTTTTGACATGGCACTGCGATGCCAGTGCCCTTTTGAGGCGGGTATAGCCTCGCTACAGCGAGGTGGGTGGCGCTTGGTCCTATCGGGGCGGCCATCCTACCACAGCTTGATTGCTCGGACAGAAGTTCCAAGCGGTGGATATCGAAGTGGCCATGTGTCGGCTGATAAGGAGGCTGTCTTGAAAAAGAAAGACACAAAAGCTTACGAGATTGAGCCTGCATTGATCCATGAATACCGGCAATGTCGTGCCCTATACTAAGGTCAGATGTTGGTTCTCCCCACAGGCTGATTGCCGCAGCCTTGAGTGGTATTGCACCCGCATCCATCAGAACATGGCCCAGAACATGCAAAGGAGCGACAGACTCATGTATAGGATGTTACATTTTGGTTGCAGCAAGCCCCCTCGGCGACCCGATTACTCCGATCAGCGCGCATGCCGATGAACCAGGCCGATGAGCAATCACTTTCTGATGCGTCAATGGATGAAGGTGATGTGCCGGCTGCCCCAGCGAAAGAGTCCGAGGTAGCAATGATCCAAGACCCAATGGTGCATCTGTTCGTTTGTAACATAGTGCACG